CATTTCTGTTAGTGATTTTGACGACACTGTATTCATTGGTGATGTTGCCATCATTCAAAATAAAAAAAGTTAGTGATACAATTAAATCCATGATATTAGAAATCAAATTGAAATGCAAATCAAGATAAATGATAATTAACCAACAAAAAAAAAAAGAAAAAGAAAGAAAGAAAAAACTTCACAATGATCATCAACTTAGAAATGATTTTGAGAAACTCTAGCATAAGAAAAATTACTTTTATTAACAATAGTTCTTACTCTTTTGTGTTGATTTTTACATATAAATTTTGAGCATAGAACAGAATGAGCAAGGTTGGTTTTATAGCTATAATGGCATGGGGGTAGAATGCGAAAGGCTGGTTGATTTGTTGGCTATAATGATCATAATTACTTTCATATTAAATCCTTATTTGGCTAATTTTTTTTAAAAAATATTTAATTAAAATACAATTTATGTTACCTAATTACCAAAGTTATTAAATAACATTACTTTATTAATCAAAATATGTCTAACCTATGTTTGTCATTAATGTAAAGTCGGACTCATACTTTAATTCATTTTTGACACACAAGAGCCTTCCCCATAAAAATTTTAAGAACAAAATAGTCAATTGAATAGTAAATCATTGAATTTTCGTTTATTATTATTATTATTATTATTATTATTATTATTATTATTTTAGTAATTGAATATCGGTTAACTTCTTATATTAATTCCAAACCAAATGATATGTATTAATTAAATAATAACTTCATATAGGAACTATAATGTAAATTATGAAGATTAATAAGGACTTTGTCAATTAAAAATAAAAAATTTCAGAATAAAATAATCAATTGAATGTTTCCCAATCATCCATACATTGGGTAAAAGTGATTGGAAGTAGAAATGATTATTGACAATCTTAAAAACCCTTTAGAAGTTATTTACTTTAACATATTTGTAACATCATTAATACATTAATGCAATCTTTCAATTTTGCAATCTCAATTAGATAATAACTTAATACATAAATTATAATGTAAATTATGAAGATTAATAAAGGCTTTGTTGATGAAAAATAAAAATGTAAGGAAAAATTAATCAACTGAAAGAAAAGCCATTGAATTTTCATGTGCAAAAAATATTTTTTTTAGTGATTGAATGTCCCAATTAATATAATAAGGCAACATTTGGCACATTTGCTACCTCATTGATACATTAATGCAACTTTTCAATTTTGTAAACTCAATTAAATAATAACCTAATGGATGGATTGTAATGCAAATCATGAAGATTAATAAGGGCTATGTTGATGAAAAATAAAAATTTCTTTGTTAATGAAAAATAAAAACTCAATGGATGAATTATAATGTAAATCATGAAGATTAATAAGGGTTTTGTTGATAAAAAATATAAAATTGCTTTGTTGATGGAAATTAAAAATTGTAAGAACAAAATACTAAATTGAATGATAAGTCACTAAATTTTCGTTGATTTTTTTTTTTATAAATAATTGAATATCAGTTTCACTCCTTATATTAATTCCAACCCAAATGATAAATATCAATTAAATATTTCACCACTTATATTAATTCTAAATAAAATGATATTTATTAATTATATTGGTAATAAGGGTTTTGTTGATGAAAATTAAAAATTATAAAGAAAAAAATCAATTGAATACTAGTCAATGAATAAAAAAGATGAATTTTCGTGTGTAGTTTCTTTTTTATTCATTGAATGTCCTCATTAATTTATTAATGAAACTTTTAAAATATTTGTAACCTCAATTAAATAATAACTTAATGGATGAATTATAATGTAAATCATGAAAATTAATAAGGGTTTTGAAAAATAAAAATTGATTCGTTGGTGGAAAATAAAAATCGTAAAAACAAAATGGTCAATTAAATGATAAGTCGTTGATTTTTTATTTTTGATATAATTGAATGTTAGTTTCACTCCTTATATTAATTCCAATCCAAAATGATAAATATCAATTAAATATTTCACTCCTTATATTCCAAATAATACTAATTAAATTGGCATTCCAATTATGAGGGTATACTGGACATATAGTTAAATATGTAGGAGTAAATTTGGTATTTAAAAATTTCTCCTCCATCCCACTTTTAATATATTGTAGATATTTAAAAATAAGCAAAATAAATAATAATGCAAAAATATGATTGAAATTTGACCCTTATTTTAAAGCACAGTAACAATATTTTTGGTCGAAAATCCTGATTGAAAACAAGATTTTCTAATCAGTGAAATGTTAAAAATAAGAATTTAATGATGAAAAAAAATTTAAGATATATGATAATGAATAAAGATTAACAACCTTTTGATAAAAAAAAAAAAAATGTAGTATGTGTTATAAACTATGGAGGAAAGGGAGAGAAAGTAGAAAAAATAAATAGACTTGGGTGTATTATTAAGAACTAAAACCCCCATATATATATATGGGAAACTGTGAATACAATGATAATAAAAACTAAGGTTGTAGTGGTATAATTGTTATTCACTAATAAACATATTATTTACAATACTCCCTATTCAATTGCACATTACAAAATATTCGTCTCATTAAAACGTTATCAAGAAAATTCAGTAGGACGAAATTTGATTGAAGGAAAAAGAATACAGTTGTTCTTCCTAATTTCAATTTCTGTATCATGTCATTGTCTTGTACATCAATATCTTCAATATTGCAATTTTCTGTGAAGTATATCTCATATTTTCTTGTATAATTTTTAAATAACACTGTCTTTATGAGATATTTTATCAACTTTTGATAATTTTAGTAACATGATGATTTGAGAAAAAATCTCTTGTTGATTTCTTCGAGAATCTCATATATATAAGAGTATTATTTTGAGAAGAATTGTCTTGTATGTTATGGACATTCATTACACAAAAAATACGTCTCGTTAAAATCTTATTAGAAAAATTTATGTGAAAAAATCATAATGAAGCAAAAAGAGTACATTATTCTTTTCAGTATGCTACAAAACTTGAGTTGTTATAAATCTTATAAGAAAAATTCGATAGGAGAAAACTCAGTCAAGGAAAAAAAGTACAACACAAATTCAATCCTCCTCACGACAATATTACCTGAACTATATACTTCAAGCATATTAAATTTTTCAAAGATAATATTAATAATCATGCCAAATGAGTTGACTATAATGTATTTCAAATTTTAAAATAACTTGATATGGACTCATAATTTTATCCATCACGATCTTCGCAAAATTCACTATGGTGATACATATTACGACTCAATTTTCTCGTTTCCTTATTGCATAAGTATACTCCTTCAATTTTTCAGATTGCAGGTTCATAAACTTTAGGTTTCTCCAGTATATTCAATTTAATATTGCATCCTTTTTATTTTGTCAATCATTAGTTCGATTGATATATTTTAACGCATTTATTTTTATTCACATGCAGAAGTATTGTAGACAATTTTTTTCTATTCGTTTCTATAATGACATAACCAATTGAAATATCTCAATTTTCAACATATCAAGTACCTCATCCGCTTATGGTGTTTTACAATTTGTTATGTTTAAATATTGATCAAGAGTATATACCTCTTTAATGGGACCATCTTTGCTGATTGCTCTATTTTCTTTTTAAAAAATTTTGTATTAGAATCGAATATCATCACGTTTAAAGCGTGCTATAAATTTATCGAATACAATATTAACTAAGTGTCCTCCAAAACATTAATTTGAGTTGGGGCATTTAAAGTTGGAGTGTGAAATATTGTTGATCACTTTGGTCAATAAATGCATCTAAATGAATTATCCTTTGAGCTTTAAGAGTTCGAATTCTCTTTTGCAAATATTTATTTAATGATACATTTATACATTATTTTCAATTTCTTAATTCCTTCCCCTAATGCTGAGAACAAAACAGTTCAATGAAATTGGCAGTCAACAATCCACTTGTTGAGGCTTGAGATATTATATAAGGATTCAAATTACTAGTTTATTCTCTGCATTTTTTACTTTCCATCTCAATGCATTGTGGTGGATCAATTTTACAAATATTGCACCCTCAAAATAAATGTAAAAAATTAGGCTCTGGCCACAAGTCAATTATAATATGGAGAACTATAATTTGGCATGATGTGTAATAGTATTCTTTAAACAAAAATGGAAACACTACAACAAAAATGTGATTTAGCGACATACAAAAAGTTGTCACAATAAGTGATTTAGCGCAATGCATTTTTAAAATTTGTTGCAAAATTTTGATTAAAGAAATAAGTACCAAAAAAATATATGGCGACATAAAAAGTTGTCGTAATTTGTTAAAAGGGGCGACATATAATAGAGATTGTCGTAAAAAAAAAAATGAAGAAAGCAATGTGTCAAAATATTTTTTTGGTAGAAAATTTATGGTGACAAACTTTTATTGTTTGCAACAAAGTATTTGTGATGCAATAAGATTTACTTTTTACAACAATAACTATTTGTTGCCAAAAATTCTATAGATGGAGGAAAAATCACTGCAAGAAAATTTGCATTTTGCCACACACAAAAGGCGTTAATCTGGTCTTTCATAATAGTCATTTGCGTGTTGCATGCTCTAATGTTTTCGTAGAGACGAAAGATATGGTATCAGGCAATGTATATAGCAAAAGCTCTCAAACGAACATTGCTTTTTAGTTTTGGCAGCGTTCTTCACATTTGCTTTTATTATTTTTACAACGTTCTTCGCTCGTTATCTTTACTTCTTTTTGCAATGATCACAGTTGTGTTTAGCCCCTTTACAAATGTTGTTATGGAAAAATAAAAACCAAAAAATTATTAGGCAACATAAAAAAAAGAAATGCTCTAATAGAATTATAAACAAGGGAGGATGGGGAGTGGGGCCGGAAGGGTCACGTGACACACCAACTTATATATATATATATATATATATATATATATGTGTGTGTATTTTTATTAATTTATTAATTTATTTTATTATTATTATTTTTTTTTTAAACTTCGTAATCTCGTTTCCTTCTCCTTCTGCAAAATACTTTATTGTGAGGAACTCTTGGAATTTGATACCCCTTTTGCAAAAAACCCTCCAACCTGCATTTCCATTTCCCCGCGGCCGCGATGCAGCCTCATAATTCGATTCAGTCTCCGCGATTCAACCTTGTTCAGTTCAGCCTGGTCCGTCCCTGTCTCTAGTCGGCAATGCGGGCCACCATCACTCCGCCCATAGCCCACCGCCCACCGCCAGTCCAAAGGTCAGTTTTGCTTTGCCTAAAGTTCATTCATAATTTGATTCTAGAATTTCAAATTTCGAAATATATTTGTGATATTTGATTTGTGATTGGTGAATTATGAATGTAGATTATGCATTCATCCGCTATAAATTTTGATGTGTGCAGATTAAATATGAATTAAAGAGAAATTTATTTATTTAGGAATTAGGAGATAGAAAAAGGAGGGAAAAGAATGAAAAAAAAAATAAGCATAAAATGTTGTGAATACTGAGAATACCAAAAATGATGCTTCCGTGAGCAAAATTGATTTCACGTAAATTTCATTGAAATAATTCTCCATTCCTCATGCTTAGGCATATATTCTGTGAGTTTGTTTTCTGTCAAATAAAGAAACTAAGGTTGGAAGACATTGTGAACAGTCTCAAGTTAGATTCTCTGGACTAATCTATCAGTACCCTTTCAGCAATCAGTATATATTTAGTGCTTATTTGGGTTTCATTAAGAAAGCTTGAGGAATACTATTAGTTATGTGAAATGCCTAAATCTCATTGAAATTTCTAAAATTTGTAGAGGACATTGGCTTCTTGCTTCTCCTTCGGTAGTATTAATTTCTACACCCACATTGGGTGCCTATGAAAACTTTTGTAACTAATAAACTTGTTATAAGATAACTTAATAAGATTGGATTTAACTAGAATTAGTATTAATTTCTACGCCCACATTGGGTGCCAATGAAAACTTGTGTAATTAATAAACTTGTTATAAGATAACTTAATAAGATTGGATTTAATTAGAATTGATTGTCAAAAATAAACTAAGGGTCAGATTCGATTGTGTATGACTTCTGAGCGGAGAATTCATATCTGTTTTTCGTAGTGACAGGGAACATTGGAGAAGAAAAGAAAAAATAATTGGCTGCAAATTAAGCCTCTCTTTTTCATTAAATGTCAGGGGATAATTTAGAACAAGTTCAGTTCTTGTTTTTCAAATTTGGGATTTAAGTCAATAACGTACTTTGTCATTTATATAATTTTTCATGATATGGTTTTGCAAAACACTTTACTTATTGACGAGCTGATTGGGTATTCAAGTTTATGGACTTGGAGTTTGCTATTTTAAATATGCAGTTAATAGCAATGGAGAAGGTGAGAATGCATGCACAGCAGAAACTGGAATTTATTCTGGAGATTTAGTCTTTATTCATGATGTATAATTTGGGGCGCTAACAAAATCTTACTTTCCATACAGCAACAAAAAAAGTATATATTTTATTGGTTTCTTTTTTTTCTATGGATAGGTTGATTATATCAACTGATTGGCTAGGAAGATGTAAATATTGGAAGATATGCTGAAAAAACTAATACTTTGGTCCAATAGGTGGGAAAAATCAATGCTGAGAGTGAACAGTCCTTTCAACAATGACACTGAAGAGAGAGTTGATAAGGGAAGGAAGTCTTGAAGAGTACTTGCCATATGGTGCCAGAAACATGGCCTCGGGCTACTAAAATATGTTTTTTTGTCTCCACTTTTTACCCATTAATAAAGCTAGTTTATGGGTGCAATTTTTTTAAAGGTCGTATAATTCTGATCTTCTCATACACAGATTGACTTTTGGTCCTATAATGTATGAAGTGGGGGTATGTTTAGAATTATTTAATTGACATAATCCTCATGGATTTCCGCTTTAAGTGGCAGATTATGGACATTCAATTTAAAGGCCATTGACTGTTTCTTTCACATCTTGAGATAATGCAAAAAGCAACAATTACCTAGCTATCTTGTTTATTGAAAACTACAGATAAACGGAAAGAAAGGAAATCTTTGAATCATTAGATGAATAACTTACAGACCCTTTAAAAGAGATTTGCTTGATTTTTATGCTTTGCCAAAATAGACATGTCTATATAGATCTTTGAAAAAATACAAAAGAGGGTAATTTGAGATTGCAATCTTGTAACCATTGTGATGTTTTCTGCCTAGTTTTGTTTATTAGTATTACACCACTTTATATTCTAATTGCTTTCTTTTCCGTTTATTAGTGAGCATCCTGTTTTTTGTGCTTAGACTTGTTGCAAAATAAAGTGCAGCAAATACGAAAAACCATGCATAGTTTACTGTTTTCTAGTGTTTACTTTTGCTATAGCATATAATATATTCTCAAACAAAAATTGTCTTGATGCAGTGATGTCTTTGATGAAAGCTATGGCTAAGGATATTCAACCTTTACTGGCAAATGTTCATGATGGTGGTTTGCTTAAGGAAGTGGAGAATTTAACCAAAAACCTTTACTGGCTGAAGTTAATTATAGTGGCCTGGCAGGAGAGGATGTAGATTACTCCGATATTTAGCGTGTGGATATGTTTGGATTAATTTTATACATTAATGTGGACTGATTTTCCCATTGAATTTGTGTTAGTCACAATGATTTTGGATGAAAGCAGCATTCATTTGATGCCTTTTGCAACGCACTTTGCTTGTTTTAGTATCCTTTGACTCTACAGCAACTTTGAAGATCGCAACATACGCCTGAGCATTACAGAAGGTTTTCGCAACATTTTTTGCTTGTTACGAAAGGCAATTTTTATTGTAGTGTATACTTTTAAAATAGTATTAGCAACAAACATTTTTTTCACAAAAACTTTATTGGAATAATCATTGCAACAAATTGACTTGTAGAGCCTTTTCAAGTTTTCGTGACATTTATGTGTTGTAACAATATTATAGCGACAAATATCTTATCGTTAATTTGTAGTTTTTGTGTCGAAAAATTAATGTTGCAAGTTTGTTTATGTGATGAATGATTGAAAGTTGCCGCAAAATACATTATATAACTCATATAGCGCAACAATGACTGCAACAACATATTGTCGTGGCGAAATAATTTTTGCAACAAAATCTCTATTTAAGCGACAAAAAAATTGTCGAAATTTCTATTTTTTTTTTAGTGAAAGTAATTTGTTCTCAATTAAATTAATTGGAGATATTTAACAAGCAATAAAGTTAAACTGTTTATCGACATTTAAACTAACACTTATTAAAATGTTGAGATTTATTATCACTAGCATTAACAAGACATACCATATTGGTTGTATAATCTGAAAACTATGCTTCTAATTTAAAATTTGAGTAGTAATTTCACGAACTTCAGATTGTGAATACCATACAATTATCTAATATACATATATCAAATATATTAGATACAAATTATATCTATATGATCAATGTGGATGATGATGGAGCCCCATTTATCACCTTGATTAATTTTCAATAATTTCAGTTCCTATTTTAATTAGTTATGTTTAGTGATCAATTTTCAATAAAGGGAACAAATAATATATAAGAATTCATTGGATTGAAAAATCTTCAGGTTCTTCGCTAAATCTCTATTCGAATTTTTAATTTTGCATCATTATTAATCAAGTGATGTTCCAATTGATCATGCCAAACAATTAAATAAAATAGAGTTGCTAGTGCAATATAATATTTTGTTTCAATTATACCACACATTTTAGAAACTTAGTATGTTTCTCTTTAATTTATTAGAAAATAAACTACTATTAACAGTAAAATTTTATTCTTAACACAATGCAGTATTGACTCTTTTATTGTATCAAAACAATATTCTTCTAAAATATTGCTCTATACTTGTTTATTATTACTCACTAGTAATAGAATAATATTCTTCAAGAATATTTATACATTCAAACTAATCATAACATTCTTTCTAAAATATTAACATGTACAAATTTGTGTTTATTCAGGAACATAATACAATATTTTTCAAGAATACTAATTTTTCAAGAATACTAATATATATTATTCTTTGCTTCTTCTGGAGTAATATATCAATATTTTTCTGAAATATTAAAATTGTAATGGCGTACTTTTTAGGAGCAGATAATTCTTTCTAGAACATTTATATAAGGTGGATTGTGTTTCTTCTAGAATATCAACACTACATTCATTTATTACTATGATTTCTAATTGTGCTTTTCCAAGTTCACAAGTTAAATCAAAATATTTAAGTAATCTAAAAATTCAAAAATATAATATTTAATAGAAAAAGAAATACTTTTAGATAATATACTTACTTGAATTTCAAAGCTTTAGAAAATCTTGAATAATTGACAAATTTCAAATTCGTCAAAGGTAAAATTAAAATTTTTTTATAGTACTTCAAAATTAGCTACTATTCACATAGCTATTTCTTACAAATGAACTGCTATATTTTAATAAGAACCATTTGATTTAAAGGAAAATGAGTTGTGAAGGTCCTATCCAAATTTTATAACGATTGAACCACGACTTGTTGAGATATCAATATTTTTATCACAATTGTGCAAGCTGTACAAATTCTACAAATTTTCGCAATGTTGATTTCAAAATAATAATACAATTCTTACATAGCATATAGAGTACTACTTTAGGGTCAACGAATTTCAAGTTCGTGGTAATATTTGATTCAATCGTTTTTATGAATGTGTAGTACACGTTAAAAGGGAGTACCAATAATTTTTCTTTTATATCTGTTTCTAGTCAGATACAAAAGAAATGTAAAAATATTCTATATTATTTTCTTGCATCATCTCAATGTGATATCCATTACAGAAGATATCTTAAAACTATACAACTGTCTTCTGGTTTTGTTAGAAGAAATTCATCATTAATATATAATTTTGTATTGTTTGATAAAATAATACAAGTTCTTCTGGAGCTTCCAATGATATTTATGCACTTTATATCGCATTAATATTATTTTTTTGCCAATGTTAAGGTCAGTTATTAGTTTTTGTCTTGGAGAATAGTATACATATTTGCATTATTAACTAAACAAATATATCGACAATTCATCTCGAATTTTATGATATATGTCGTTTAGGTATCTCCACAATAAAATAAAAGAAAATACAATTAATTTCGAAAAATATTATTAAATATATTATAATCACATAATAATTAATCAAGCATTCAAACTAATCAATGTCGACATTATATAAGTTATATATTTTTCTTTAGGGATGAATACTAATTAAAAATAATATATTTTTCAAAATATGAGCTATTTCGAGAGCTCGTTGTAGTTTATTTTTGCTTTTTCAAGAGCTTCTGTACTGAGATATTGAGAATTATAATTCATGTTTTTCAAAAGCAATCAAATATTATTATAATAAATTTTATGAAGATTTACTCTTCATGAGTAAAAATATAATTTACGTTATATCGTGTTTAATTATACTCTTCGAAATCAAGTAAAATCTAACTAAAATATTCGTAAATAACAAAATGCTATTTCAAGAGCAATAATATTTTATAATAGGAATGTGATAATTAATTGAATGATCACTAATCGAACAATAAACCAGAAAAGAAAAAAGAAAAAAATTAAGACAAGATATGTATTCAAAATTAAGTTACTAAATAATTATGTTTTCTTAACAAACTTATATTCAAAAGTACATGATTCACGAAGGTTTTAGTGATTGTTTTTCTACCAGAGTTGCTTGAGTATCCATTAAGATCAGTGTTAAGTGAAGTTTGTGTATTTATTTACGCCACATTATTAAACTTTTAAGTCGTCATATTATTAATTTCTATTTAATTTAGGTTAATTTTCTTTGTGTTTTTACTGACGGACCCGTTCGAAGCAAGTGGGAAGGAAGAAGGACAAAATCGAGTAACATCTATAATTTTGGATCAAATTCCACAAGTTTGAATCTGAGAAGGACAATGATTACACAATTGAGGAACTCAATTAGACCTTGAAAAGGAATCAAATTATTTAATTGGTTGGACTTGAAATTGGATTCCAAGGGATTGTGCTATGGATATATAGCCATACAGGAGAAGACAAAACGTAATTGAGCTGGAAATTGAAGAACAAAAGGGCTGTCCAAGGATTCATTATGGTATATACACGACAATTGGAGCTGAAAAAGGGAGAACGGCTGAAAATCTTGGAAAAATTATAGAAATAAAAACGGTTGCCATTATATATATTTTCACGCGCCGATTGGAGGAGAAATGAAGAAAAAAAAAACCATTGGAAAAGGCAGCGAAATAAGAGGAAAAATTACCAGCAGTGGGGGGCTAATATATATATATAGGCCAATTAGGAGAAAAAAGTCTGCTGCTGTAACAGAGAGAAAAGGGTTGCCTTGTTAGTTAATTGATACATACATATACGCACAGAAACACGTGGACCAGGGCAGCAGCTTGAGGGAAGAAATTGAATCAAAGTTGGGTTATTCTTTGGAGGTCAAATATTGCGGCTGTTGGAAGGAGTTGGCAGCAACTGGGGAAATTAATTAGATATTCATACATACAAAAAAATAAAAAAATAAAAATAAAAAGGTGGCTGGTTATTTTTTTTTTGTCTTTTTGTGCAGCTCTCTTCAATAATTCTGCAAGGAGCTTGAAGACTAATCATGTCTCGTCAATTTTCGGTAATTTCCTTTCACTTTTATGTGTTTAATTCCATAGTATGTTAGGCTAATTTTTCTCTTGTATTGGATGGATGACAAAACTGTTTAATTCTTAATTTTAATTTGAGACCTATGTTTTTTATCTTAATTTTTGTGGTGTGATTCAACTAATATACACAATTACATTGTTTTGATGTTTGCCCACCATTAGGACAATAAGTTGTTTATTCGTGATGTTGAAAAACTCGCGATAGGTAGAACATTATTATTGGGACACACGGGCAATAAATGTTAAGAATAATATTTGTGGCGTATGCGTTCATATGTGATAATCCTAAATGTCAATGCATGTTTGCCATATGAATTCGGATTAGGAATAGAATCGTCTCGTGGTAATCACAAGTTTATTATATCTTGGAAAATAATAATAAATAATAGTGAAATTATCGATCGTCGCAATTGCGTAATTTAAAATAATTATTACCGGTTGAGAATTAGAAATAAGAATTGATCGGTGGCGTTGAAATTCAATACGTTCGTACAATTGATTTTTAAACCAATTTTCTTTGATTTAATAAGTTTTAGTTATAAAAATTAATTAACTATTCATTCGATCATCTTTTGATTACAAACTCGAATTTAAATATATCAAATATACTGAAATTGATCCTTACTCATTGTGGGACGATATCTCTCATCACGATTATTACTTGTACAACGAATCCGTACGCTTGCGGGAATTTGACGAACAATTAGAAGTTGATACTTTACTTTGAGGGTTTTGGTGATTGTTTTTTTTTTACTACAATCACCTTAACTTTTCACTTTTGATTGTTTGACACGATTTTTAATATGAGATGGTATTTAACACTTGTACTGGAAGTGAAGTTTTTTGTGATCTTGTATTTGTGTAGATTTTTTTTTTCTCTTTGTAGAACCAAAGTGAGTGCATTATTTGTTTGCTCTAAAACTAGAAGTGAAGTTTGTATACAAGCTAATGTATTATTTGTACAGGAAATGGTATAAATAAATTGTTAACGTTTGAA